AGCAAAAACATGGCTGGTATGGTGAAACTCGAGCTGACTTTGACCAATGCAATAATGTTGTGACGCAATTTAATATGTTTTGATGCGCATCATGCTTTTTGTACACAAAAAATGGAAATGTAAGCAAAAATAACCCTCAATATAATTTCAGAAAAAAGTTCCGTTTGTTTTGTGAAAAAGAAAAAAGATTCCAGCTTCGAGATTGTTCGTACAGTACGTACAGTTTTCATATAGTATCCAAAGAATTTCAAAAAAAGATTCAACGTTTCCTTGATTCATAGGGCTTTAGTCCATGGTGACTCCATTTCCTGGGGTCACCATGCATGCTTGTTTCTTGGGGTGAAATTGAAAAAGAAAAAAAAAAGATTTCCGTGGAATTTCGGAACGGCTGCATGCAGCAGCAGCAGCAGCAGGTAGCCCAGCAGCACATAGAGTCTCGTGATGGGCAGGGGGTCGGAATAAGGCCTCGACGCATTATTCTGCAGCTGGGCGGCATAAAATCAAATCGCTTTCGACTTTGCCTGAGCCGCACAGCGCTTACCAAGCCATTTTAATACAGCCTGGATTGTGGGTTGAATCCCAGGCTTTCTGGAAATTTCAATGCAAGAATAAAGATAAGATAACTCCCCCTTTTATCCTCGCAACGTTTTACTTCTTTTCAGGTAAAATATAATAATTTCCTGCAAGAAGCGCTTTGTGTCTTTTTGCTCACAAAAAATATGAAAACTGGCATTAAGCATCAATAACAAAATCGACGACTATTAATGAAAGACAAAATCAACTTGACAGAAATTGCAGCACATTATTCGGCAGCAGGCTCAAGTTTTGCAATCGATTCATTTGGCTGCATGTACCTTATTGGATAGAAACTAGGGAATGTCCAGGTGCAGCTGGGCACCCCCATCTTGTCATACCTAATAAAGTTATTTGTGCAGTCCTCGGTTTGCAGTTCCCTCTGCAGAACCCCCTAGACTCCTTCTCAATAAGCCGTGCCCAAAAAGGAACAGCAGGCAGGAATAGGCAGAAACGCAATTTCCTGAGAAAAACCCACACTCTGCTAAGGCGCACAGCTATGCACCTTTGATGTGTACAGAGAAATACAGCATCCGAACCAAATGGATGATCTTGCTGCACTCTTATGGGCCTCTGTTGGGTTGCCTTCCCTCTTATTTGAATTGTGCACATGGGCTGCATAATTACCCTTTTACGCAAAATGCGTTCAGCCTAAGGTAATTTAGAAGTGGATCTGCTCATATCAGCGATATGCTTGATACAGAAATCAAGCTGGGAGACTGTTCAAAACTATAATTGACATGAATGATTAGAATATTATAAAGAAAATACTATAAAATTTAGAAAATAAAATACTGAAATCCTAAAATAAGCTATGTTCATCTGTTATATGGAGTATAACAAGCCCAAAAATGGAATGTTCATGTACCAATGACACAATAAACAAAATAAAATGATGAAGATCACAAGCATACCTATCATTTTATATACTTAAACTCTGTTTGTGCAATGAACCAGCATATAAAATGATGTATGTCAAAAAAATAAATATTCGGTTCTTAATTTCGATGCTCATGCACAATTGAGGCCATCTGCCAGAAAAGAAGTAAGCAAAACTCATTGTATATTCAAAAAGATCTCCTTTCACATTTGCAGATGAAAAAACTGAATACGTGACAGATGAGCAATTCATAATTCTATTGATCCATGAAAATTTGTCTTCAACTTTTCATAAGATTGGAGAATATCATGCATCTACCTGTATGCCATGGATTTGCTGGGCGCCAAGGAACATTGGGGTATGAGAATTGCCCAGCACAAAAAGCTTGTGTTTTTCACATTTCAACCTTGCCTCTGAGGTGAAAAACGTCCAGGGTGTAATTGAATAGTAAGAAAGTTAGGCTGACAATTCAACTTTCAAATTCATTGCAGTTATCAAAGGGGATCCCTCTGATGCATTCAGATATATTCAGGTTTGGGGGTCCTTGTTCCTGTCAGATTTTTAGGCCTTCCTGATTATTTGCCACATGGGATTGTCAAGTTGCAGGATCTTTTCTCCCACTGAATATCCTGCATCTAAAATTATTAAAGAACTCCTACGATCTAAGAGTTTCCCCATTTATTCTGGTGCATTTGAAATTCCTGTGGCTCAAAATCTCTGGGCTAAAGAATCCCGTATAGGAAGGAAAACTCACAAGGCCTCCCCCATATCGGCCCCAGAGTTGAAGGTCAATTCCTTTTTAGCAATTGCCACATACTATAATGCTGATACAACAATGGTAGAACTCGCCCATCAATCAAGAGCACATAACTTGATTGAAGTTCGCTTCAGAATATTGTTGAAAATGCCAACTTCAGACACTATGAATAAAATTTGACTTAAAAACGTGCATGAGTAATTGTTTGATAATTCTGATTTTTCAACAGCAAGAAAACAAGACACTCGCTCAATTTGACGCAAAATAGTTCTTATAGGAGATGATGCTTCAATGTACTCACTGAGAGATTTGTTGGCATGCGGAACCTGGCAAACAATCCACAGCCCAATCTTGAAGGTCTGCACAGCAGTGGTAGCCATGTGGCCCTCCTTATTGCTGGCCGCAAGATCGAATCCCGAGCCGCCGTCAGTGTCACTGCCAGTATCAGACACAAGGGACACCTCCTGGGCCACATCAGACAAAGCCGCTGCCTCCTCCTGCTGCTCATCAACCTCTCCCTCAAGGTGATCATCCAACATGGATGGTATCATCAGCACAATGTCTTCACTCTGTTCTGAAGGTGGCGATTGCTGTGACTGATGAGCTGCTCCGCCGCCAGCACCTCCCACCAACACACGCTGGCCCACTGGCCGCAGTGGCGGAATGGGCACGGGTTCCTGAGTGAAGACCCACTGGTCGGAAACGACGGCCATGGCCAGGGACCCCAGGGCCACAATGCCACACACTATGGCCAGGCAGGACAGGCACTTGGCCTGACACCTAGACTGCTGCTGTTGCTGCTTGCTTGCTGCCACAGTTGCCCTGTGTCATTCGAAATGTGAGATCATATATCTTTCAGTTTTTCCTAAATAATAACTTCATCAATATGCACTTTCATTACTTTCACGAGACACTGAGAGGGAGTCCATAGGTCGAAAAGCCCTGTATATAGTTCATACAATACTGTATATCCGTAATCTGCAGAGAGAAAGAATATTTTCACTTAGAGGGATGCAAACATTTGATGACCAATTTGGGCAGATTTAAAGGACTGCATATAGGTATACGTTTATGAAGCAAGTTTTCACCTGCATGCAGATCATACTAAATGAATTTCGCAGCCGGACTGCTATAGTGACATCTAATTTCAGCAGTAAAAAACACAGTCATTGTTATGGATGGTATTATGGATTTTAATACTTTTCAGCTCAGCTCACATACAGCCGAGTAATGACCTGGAGAATTGGATTCTAGAATGAGTTTTAAACCACCATCACCAGAACTTGGTCATATCCCACAGGTGACTCTCTTTATACAGTAATTTGAAGAAGCAGAACAGTGGTTTTTCCTTTTTTTTTCTTCTTCCTCACCTTCCAGGAATGACGGGGATGCTGGACGGTCCCACTTGCATTTCAGCGTCGGAATTGAGCGGAAGTAGCCTGGTGGAGATGTTCTCTTCTACTTCCTTGCCCACCCAGTCCACCTGGAGCTGAAGCTGCTGCTGGTGTTGCTGCTGCTGCTTGAACTTCTTCAGGGTGGAAAACTGTTTGAAAAGGGCATAAATTATTCCAGGTAAGTCCAGGTCAACATCTGTCTGCACAAATGCTGCATTTTACTTGACTTTAACTGTGTAAAAGAACTGTCTCGCCCGAACCCCCCCACTCTCTTTTTTGAGAATCGACAAATAGAACTTGCAATCGGCGGTTCCAAACACAACATTGACAGTACCTGGTCGCATTCTGGACAGCCGGGAAGTAGGTCCTCCTCCTTCATGGCTTCCGGACAAGTGCCGTCGCAGTCAAAGAGCCCCACGTCCAGCAGAGGCGGCGGTGGCGGGAATTCGTCGCCGGTGATTTGCTGGTGCCGATGGCTAATGCCCGCGTTGCTGGGGCCGCCCATCATCTGCACAGACGCCCCCAACATGCCGCCGCCGACATCGTCAACACCGGCGCCTTCGTCGTCTCCGTCGTTGCCGTCATCGGCAGCAATGATACAGCCGGGATCATTGCTGCTGCTGCTACAGCCCGCTGGGATTCCTTTTTTTTTGTGATTGAAAGAGAAGGCAAGAAACAGGGTTTTCATCAGACATATCTTTATACAGTACTTTCTATGAACAGTAGAATCTCGTAAGTTATTCTCCCTCTGGCTGTACAATTGTGTATGCTATCAATATAAGGAGCTATTTCTATGAAATTCTCACTATTCAACATACATATATATTTGGCTGCGGTATTCTCAGACCCTCTTGGTGATTTTTTCCAGCAATAAGTTGAAGGGACTATCAAAATCAAGGCTGTCGTCCTTAATTATTGACCGGGGTTATTCCGCCATTCGTAACGAATATTCGACATGAGTCCGGACGAAGAGAAAGATAGAAAACACAAAATTCAGATAATAAAAAATGATCTTTAGAACGTTAGTTTTGACAATTCTTTGTTTTTGTCCCACATCTGCAGTGATGAATGCATCCAGTGCCATGCCCTCGATAATTCATTTTAAATGTTCCCCGATGATCATTCTCATCACAGAGATAATCTACAGCCTCAACAATTGTAATCAGTTCTCAAACTTCTGCCAATAAGTTCTGAATAGCTGCATGCTGGTTCGTTATTGCCCCCAAAATCAACACACGGGGAGTCAAAACTCGAGGCACCGACGAAAAGCATTTATTTAATGAATGCCCAAGCAGCAGCTGCATGATGATGGGTTTCAGAATATATCTCAGGCGGGGGCTGCTTTAATTTGTCTCTCAAGTGTGATCACATTATTTGTAGGTCGTTTTCCGGGTGATTACTGTTGATGATGATGAATCAACATGGCATGAGCAGCATTTGCACTTGCATTCGCCTCACCTCCAACAGACACGACGGCAGCCGTGGGCAGCGGCGAGGGATCTGGCGAAGAGACGGGATCACAGTTATTGGAGATGCCGAGGCTGGTGCTGGGGATCGTGCACCTGCCTTGAGACACGCCACAGGCTGCCCGCAGCTCCGAGTAGATCCCCTCGTACTCCAGCCGCACCACGCTGCTGGCCCGCTCGTCGGACTCCATCTGCAGTCGCATGGACCGATTGTCGTCGTCTTCTTCCTCATCCTCGTCGTCAACCTCTTCGTCGTCGTTGTTGCAGTCAGCAGCATCCCCGTCGCCACGACGAGCACCAAGACCTACTCCTGCTGCATCGTCGTCGTCTTCGCCGCCGTCATCCATGTCGGCGTCGTCTTCAACATCAGCGTCATCTATACCATCATCGCGGACAATTAAGTATATGCAAAGGGGGGTGTTGAGCGCGTGAACATTGCACAAGCTCTGCCAAATTGACAATCAGCTTACAAGTACAATAATAAAGCACCTGGAAATTCCTTCAAATCGAAACATTGTGGATACTGAGATAAGAAAAACAAAGCCAACTCGATCAATTAGTTATGACGGGATTTTACTTTCTCAGCATATGATCAACTCGAAGGTAAGGCTCTATATATAGAGCAATTTTACATGACAATAGTATCAATTATCAGCATGCTACGTTTCCATGTGTTAACATATATATATATATATATATTTTTGCAGTACAATCGAGTATATGTAATCAAGGAGCTATCCTCATGAAATTCTCACATTATCACCATGCAATTATTGGATGCGGAAATCTCGGAATGTCTTTCTGACGTTTTTTTTTGACAAAAAGGTGAAGCACTATCAATTACCCGAGGAAGATGAAGAATATTTGGAGAAAATGAAGAATTGCTCTGCATTTTCTCATTTCAGCATAGGCTATCGTCCAAATTGACCCAAGTACTGGTATTCGCTACAAATGTGGCCATTCATGACTCACTCACAATTAAGAGAGCGGTAAAATATATGACGTCAGAAAATTAACGAGAAGGTTACGGCCCCGTTGACGTCAAGTGCACAGTTGAAGGGCACTTGCTGGAGACAATAAAACACGGCGGGTGAAATGGAACATTTAACGGATCCGTGTTCACTCAAGAACTGTATTTTACTGCTGCACAATCTCTGATTTTTGGTGCACGATACAGATATTGCAGATTTTGCCTTCACACAAAAAAAATTAATATTCTGAAGAGAAGGACAAGAAAATTCGAAATTTGCGTAAAGCTTATTCTCTGCACTCGTCATCACACGGAAAATATATTTAAAAAACTTATGAAGGTTATACAGTACTGTACATTTTAATTAAATATTTAGTCGATTGTATTTGACAAATATCCCCGGCATCCTCAAGATGCGCGCATATAGCCACCACCGTCTCATCTTTTCTTTCAAAAGTTGAAGAAGGTCCTTTCGGCATGCCAAAATGGACCCTATTTCTCAACAAGTTTTTACCCAGCATTCGACAAGATTCCTGGGTTGTTTTCTTTTTGGGCAGAAAAGTTTACACCTCAATTGTTCGAAACTGTTCTGTTCCCAAACCCGTCTCGGAACAAAAAGTTCATTCAAGAAGGCAGTTATGTTAACTTGAAATGATTAAATTAGTTGGTTTGATACTTCTTTCGGAAAAACAAAGCAAGAAAAACTTTTCTGGCGTTTTTTTAAATTCTCATTTCGCCTTTTCACTCTTGCAATCTTTACTTGCATTATACTGGTTCTCCCAAAATAGCATCATTTTTTTTCTGTACGTACTTGCACCCAAGATATATTTGAGGATGCGCTGTTTTGTAGGACACTCTTAACGCGCTCAATTGAGTTCGTCGTTTTTTTTTTGAATTGTCTCACCAACTGCCGGCTCCTGTTTGGCGTGATTGGTGTCACTCTCCTCCTGATCCGTGACTGAACTCGCCGTCGGGTTGTCCCTCGACGAAGGAGGCCCGTCTTGGGAAGCCTGGCTGTCACTACAGGCATCAAACACCAGGTCCCTCTGCTGGTGGAGGGGGTGTTGGTGGTGGTGGTGATGGTTGTGCTGGTGTATGAGCAGGTGGTGCTGGTGCTGGTGGCTCCCCGACGGAGACGTGATGGCTGTTGCGGGGAACTGGATCCCACGCCTTGCAGCATACAGACGCTGCTCGTCAAAGTCGGAACTGGTGGGACTACTGCCCTGGTAACTCCTTCGATAAGTGACCGACAGGAAACAATAATTTGAAATTCATTGGAGCTTCAACAGAAAAAAAATTCAAGAATATCTCTCAAAATTATTACCGACTACATTTTTCCTACAGGTAATTGAATTGACATTTTTAGTATAAAAAGAGGGACTCAAACTGAATTGTAGGTTAATATGTATGTGTCAATTCTGAGCGATGGATTTCCCGTTAACAAACTCACAAAGGTATTGCATTAACTTTTAAGCTTGCCCTGCTTGACTTATAGTCAAGAGTTTGCCAAACTTTAATGAGGAGATCTGAAGCTGAACTCGTTTAAATTACCCCTTTAAAATTTGTTATGACCTGTAATTGCTTATTTAATAAATTTAGAGAATAGTTTTTGAATATTTTGGCTGAATTTCAGAGCAGTGTCTCCAATATACTGTACTTGGTCACAAACAGCAATCGAAAAAAAAGAAGGAATAATCGTTCTGAGGCATACGGAATTTCCCCTTTCGGTCCAATATCTTCATATTACCCTTATTACCACGCATTATTTGGAATGCTCATCATTCTATCTTTTAAACGCCCCCATCAGTATACAGTAACTAGTGATGGATGTGGTACTGTACTGTATACAGAAAAGACATGCCTACCCCTGGTAACTGCCAGCTGCATAGGTGGCATCCAGCAAGTACTGCCTCGCAGCCGGAAACGGTCTCCGGGGCTGGTGTTGGGACGCCGTGGCGTACCTGGGATACAGGAAGTCGCTCGCAGCGCTTTGACAGCGCGAAGGCGGCTGCGATCTCAACTGCGGCGGAATCTGCGACTGGTGTTGCTGCAATTGCTGCGAGGAGGGGAGGGGGGAAACAATGAACCGATTAGCACACCATCACTATAGCATAGTGTTCATAAATGTCCTCATGAAAACTTTTTCCCTTGTCCAAGAGACGCATGGATCGCTTCTTCTTTTCTATTGCCTTAACGTTTCACCTCCCATTACAAATGTACAGTATATATACGAGGATAAGCAAGCGCAACCTTTTTAGCTACAGCGAAACTCTGTAAAACGGCCCTGCAATGACAACGCCACCTTCAGAAATCAACTGCCAATTTGTATATTGTTAACAGGAGACGCTCTGGCCAATTCATTTCGCCTTCCATCTATCCCATCAAATCACCACTAACACAGATGACAATTCAGTTCTTGTAAACAAATATTCGTTAAGATATTCTTCACGCATAATTATTTGTCTAAAAAAAATCACAATTTGTTTCTTGTACTTGAATTACATATTATTCCAATTTTTTCGGGCTGAAACGCCAAGCCCTTTTAAAATGCCACACACACGCAAATTACGATGACCTGCTCACATTGAGATTCAACAGTAAATACAGTATTACGAAAGACACTCACTTGGTGCTGGAGAATTTGCTGCTGCTGCTGCTGCTGTTGTTGATGCTTCTTGGACTTCTTCTTGTTCCCTGCATTCCAGTAGGTGGCGTGGTAAGGCGGATAGTAGAACATACTCAGTGACCCGACTCCGACGACGACCTTGCCGCGGCCCCACTCCTTTGCGTCACTCCACCCGCATCCAACCACTTTTCATCATCACCACCTATAGTCCTATACAAGACCAAAGTTTAATATCCTGGTTCCCTGCTGAGGAACGAGCCAGATTTTACCTACATTTATTCCCATCAGTGATTTCAACTGATAGCGATTTCATGAGTGGGGAAGACCTCGTTGGATCAAAATCAAATTGCCTTTCGGGTTTCCATAACTCAGATATCAAAAATTCAGACAATCAATCTAAAGTCCAATAAAGGAAGAAAGGAGACGCATTGAAATACAGCTATTACTTAGATAACAATGAGAAGGTAGGTTTACGGAATCACAATATTAAATGACACAACACGGAGAGCAATAAGGTTTAGGAAAGGAACTTTAACAAAAATTGACTGATCTGGGACAACGGGTACATCACTGTGAGAAGTGAGTTGGGACTGACTCCCACAGCCTAATGCACAGCCCTTTTATATTGGCCAGAATAACCCTTGTAGTTAGCCAGATGCAGCAAAGTTGCTCCTGGCTAAATCCAGTTTCTTTTGCCGATTTTTTTTTGTGCTCTGAAAGGGGAATATGCGCGAGTACCCATCAGTGAAATCCAGTTCAACCGGCATGCGCTCTCAAAGCACTCAGCAACCTTTCATTCTTTGCTTTCTGGGGACATCCACTGTCTGGATCAAACATGTTAAAATGAGGAAACCATACAATGTGAATGGTTTTTTCAAAAGAAAAATTGCTTAAAGATTTTTAAATTAGGTTAGGTGTTAGGTTGGATGTTCAATTAGATGTTAGGTTAGGTTTGATTTAGGGTTGTCTAAGTGAATTTACGTTAGGTTAGTTTATTTTAATTTTGGTTAGGTTGATACAGGTTTGATATTTTTCTTCTTTTTCTGCAAATTTTTCAAGATGTCATGTCATCGAAAAAATATCGAAAATAAGTTTAAATTTTTTATGTCCCCGAAAAACAAGGGATGAACGTTCAAAAAAAAAAACTGGTTTGAGGGCAGGGTGCTGGGAGAAGGGATTAGCGCTGGAAATGCGATGCCTGAATCCTCTGTAAGTTGACCCAGGAATGGGAAAAGTTGTTTTGAAATGTGGCGCGGTCCAACATGCTGCGTGAACCTCCTTTTTTTTCCTTCGGTTGAGAGTATCTATACGAGTTTTGAATGGATATTCCAAGTGGAAATATATCTCGGGGTTTATATTGGAGTGTTCAATCAATATTCCGCGCCTTTTCAATCTTGTCAAACACAGCTGGTTCTATCAATACGGACCGCAAAGACGTGGATGTGTTTCAAAGTTATATGAACAAGGTATTTTCAACTTTTCTTCGATGGGAAATGAGGCACAAACTGCTTTTGGTCGGCATCAACCAAGAACTTTTGAGTAAGTTTGTGAAATTATCAACGGCGATCAAAAATTTACAGAGAGGCATGTAGATTTGGATTACGACATCCATCAATAGAAAATTATTCGAGTTATATAGTTTCTTTGCTTTTTTTGTTTCTTCTGTCGAGTCAACAGATCAACAGGCAGGTTCTTGCTTCTATTTGTGTTCGTGCGAAAGTTCTCAAGCATTCATTTTAAGCTGATTGTCCCACTTGTTCCTTCTGTGCCAATTTTTCCCCCCATCAAATTCACAAATTTGAAAAGGATACAAGTTGTCAGCACTTGCTGTGTCCCCTCACTAAATTCTTGTTCAAGTGTCTCCTTTTTACCTTTGTTGTTTCATCAAAATTTACTGGATACAAGGGAAAGCCTGGGAGAAGGGTTCCACCTAATTGGAAAATGCACCAAGAGTTGTGTTATCCGAAAACCGATAACGCAATAACCCCGAGTTTGTACAGAAGAGAAGCAATATCCTTCCAATCGGTTTATCTCTTACATTTCACAACCCTTGCCAAGTCCTGCACACTCCGGCAGAGCTAGAGCAGCTATAGGACTTTGGAATTCTTTTTTTTTTTTTTCAAGAAAGAAAGAAAAGGTCTGAAAAAACTATTTCATTTGATGGATTCTGGGTCTGCCCAGCAAAAAGAGGGGTATATACAGAATGGGCAGGAGAACTTTGCATGATTTATTGCCCTCAGCCCGGGGAAATTCTTTTTACAGTACATTCCCTTCTCTCTTTTTTTTTTTTTTTTTTTTTTTTTTTTTTTTTTAATGGAGGGGGGGGGGGGGGAGGGTACAAGTGTACGGAAGAGGTTGCTTGCAACTTCCGGATATTCTTGAAGATCATGTTCCGCGCTTTTCTTCCTCTACATGTAGGGAATGATGAAAAACAGGCTCGTAAATTTATGCAAGGACAAGACAAGAAAAGAAAAGAAAAGGAAAAAGATTCCCTCTGTGGAAAGTTTTCGCGTCCGAATCAATTTCCGTGAGTTTCTGGATATTAATTTCCCATTCCTTGGGGGGGAGATGTCATTCCACGGGGGGGATTACTGTAGAGAAAAAAGAATGCTTGCAAAAGACTCGTTTTTCTTTCGGGATGCCGGTGCTCTTAATAGTTGTAAATTTTCCTCTCGTCCTGCTGCTGGAGTTCCTGGAAAATTGGACCCGTCAGCTTGATAAGGTTTGGAGAAAAAAAATGAAACCCAAGATTCCCTACGCGTTTCTTAAAAGAAATCGTGTCCCGTTCACCACACCGTTTTTTCACTGGCTCCATGAGAAGAGTTCTTCACTTTTTAATAGAGGATTCAGAATGCTTGTACAGTATAAAGTACATGTATTTAATTTTAGAGGGAATAACGCTCCGTCGAACGTGTCAGCGAATTCATGTTGTCGCGCAGGCCAATGCAAACTGCATAAATCCGCCATCACATGCATGCAGGAGGCGAAGTGCCCGGCATGCCCTCGAGGCATTAATTCATGGCATGATGTGATGAGGCTTGAATCGTGTCTATACTGGGATGACGTAGATCCATTAATAATACCTTTTCTCTCTCTCTCTCTCTCCATTTCATACAAATAAGAGCTATATACTACCCACGCAAAATTCAGTTGCTGTCTTCAAGTACATATACGTACGCGGAAAAGAAGGGGGAACATTCTCCGCGATGTATATCGCCCGCAGAAATGCGATACTTTGCTGTCTTGGCGGCACTGACGCACCTGCTGACGACGAATGCATAAAATATGCATTCAAATATAGAAGAAGCACTCCCATGTTTTGCAAATGCATGCAACAACAACAATATTTTCCTCTCGACTGCGTTATATTGTATTTCAGTATTTTGCTTATATGCAGTGCTGTTTTATCATCGGAAAACAAAATATACTGCAATTTCAAAATATATGGGGATTTTGATCATTGTTTCCATATTTTCCAGTACTGTACTGTACAGTTGCTCTCACGTACAGCAACTGTGTATGCTTATACACGCCTATCGCATTTTCCGCATCACGATATGAATCGAAAAGCTGAAGCCCGTGTGTGTGGTCTTGTATGTTGATTTGGTGGTGAAAGTGGGGTTTCCACAGCAGCATGCGATTGTTTGTTTTGGGGAATTGGCGGGAGGAGAAGGAAGATGAATTGTTGATGAAGCCCCCGGGCTGAGAGGAAATGGAATTCTGCGGGTGCTGATGAGACCGGGCTTCATTGATCCACGACTATGTATTGTACAGTATATACATGCGCCTTTTTATTCCCACAGTTTCATCATCATCCGCTTCATCGTTGCAGACTGCGAGAGATGGCACACACACACACACACACACACACACACACACCCTAGTGTGAGTGATCAATTGGAAGCTTGCAGCAATGTTGCAGGCACCCTAGTGTGCGAAGATGTGTGTGATGTGAAGAAGCCTGGCAGATTTGGACATGCGGTTGACTTCCAAGGTACCAGACT